CTCTCGTCTCTCTCCTCCTCTCTCTCTCTCTCTCTCTCTCTCTCATTTATTAATTTTACACTTCAAACTATCTATACTTAGACAAAAAGTTACATTAGAATATCTTTTACACAATATAAATAACAATTTTCTGCGTTAATAAATTGCTTTTTTGTATTTTAAGACTTAAAATATCCTCTCATTCCTGATTTTGAGCGGGAAAAATATTAGATTTATAAATCATAATTTTAATTGTAATTTTTTAAATTTCAGGGGGTGGTTGAACCGTCCAAATCCCTCCTCTAGATACCTCCATATTCAGATGTATCATTACGATTTCATACGAACAGGAGCAATGTACTTTTTGTAGTATTCGAAGAAACAGCGACAAAGTACAAGGAATCGAAGAAAAAGGAGGAAGCAAACGAGACATTAAGCAGGATATCGATGTATCTGAATTCTAGATTAAACGCGACGCAAACGAGCAACGCGGTTCTGCTGAACCGCATGCGGCTTTGGCGCGCGCATTATCGCGTATTCCCCGTGCGACATTAACAAAAGTGACGTCGTCGCATCGCAACAGAATTATAACGTGTCGCCGCGATGAAGGAGAAAGAGGGAGAAAGAGAGAGAGACGGAAAGAGAGAGGAACGAGGAGAACGTGTATTCTCCGGTGTACCGTCAATAAAGTCGTCGCGCTAATAATTATCGTGGCGGCGGCGTCTCGAGGGGCGTCATTAGGCGATACAACGTCGCATATTGCGGCTTTTAATGTTTTACAAACGCTTTGCAGGTACGACCACGACGACGACGATGACGACGATGACGACGGCGGCATCGACGACGACGATGTACGATGTTTTTATCGCTCCTCGTACTAACGAACGGCGTGCACACGTGCGCGAAGAGGACTGCACGACCGAGTTATTTCGATATACGAGCGATGAAACGACGACGAGCATTGTTATGCTTCGCGCTGGGAACGCATTCCGCGTATATTGTTTCTCTCTCTCTCTTTGTTATAAAGAAATAAAAATTATCGATAGGCGCGAGGGAGGAGAAGGAGGAGGAGGAGGAGGATGACAGAGAGGCGAGGGTGAGGAGATAGGGAAGAGAAGAGACTCGATATAATGAACGATTCTACATATGCGATGCTATTTTTTTTCATTCTTTTCTTTCTCTTCTTTATTTTCTTCGAGTAAATAGACGCGTCCGACGAGGAAATTTGCGCGGTAACTCTTTACTTCCTTGAAACTTTCTTGACTTCTTTGACTTTCTTTCTTTCTAATAGAATAAAAATATCGCACCGAGGAAGGAGGAATATCTATCAGACTCTTTTCTATATCTATTGTTAAAGTAACACATTTAGACGTTGTCGCAAAGGATGGTATTATTAACGCGTGGACATTAACGAAAGTCAATGCTCTCTATCTATTGTAGCGCAATTTCTGGAATACGCGTATTTGTTTCCTTTCTTGTTTCTTCATTTCTTTTACGATAGTTGCATATGTAGAAACAGAAAATGATATGCTACATTTCATCAAATTTTATATATGTACATATAATATATATAATATAAT